AATTAGATTGTGAAATAAAGGCAGAAGGTTGAAAAGAAAGATAGATTTAGCATAACTGTCACCATTCAGTACATTACTGCATTTTTCTGTGCTTGTGCAATCTGAAAACTGCAAATACTGTTGTAACTAAGTGTAGGCATTTGTTGACAGACCAATTGTTTTAATCTCTAGTCATTATGCCCAATAACCGTGCTCATCACATACAATAAACCTGTCCTTTTCTCTTTTGCTAAACTTCTCTGTCTGAATTTTTACCTTAACTGAAATAGTTTACTTTATAAAATCAAAAAGCTTGTAACTGATGTGTTGAGTAGCATTTGGCTTCATTTGCAATGAGAAAGTAAATGTTGCTAGTTCTTGCCTACTGATACCAGGGTTCCATTTAAGCAAGACTGAGAGTGGTGTATATGTGAAAATTGGAGAAAGAGAACGCCTACAGTGCAGAATGCTTCCCTTCTCAATGTTTTCAAAGTATCTTTTTTATATTTTTTTTTGTATATAACTTACTCTCAACTTCTGTATGATTTGTCCAAATTAATATTCAAACCTGCACAAGTTCATGTTTCATAAAAACATATTTAGATTGGGGGGGTTTTGCATTCAAGAAATTTAATATAATAAATGCGCAGTTCCTTACATAGGCTTGTGGTAAAAGCTGCCTTTTTTTGAATCACTGATGACTGGATGTCAGGTTTTTGACACTCTGAAGACTTTAAACTGAAAACAGTGTCCATAAATCAAATCTTGGAAAGCTACATCAATAAAACACTGTCTTCAACTTTAGGTGGTGTTTCAGGAGTAACTAGAGTAATAAGTGGAGAAACTTCAGGTGTTGTCTGTCTTTACTTTTGAATTTTCTCAAGAAATACTCAACTGTAACCTAATTTTTTGTTACTTGCTGATACCTGTGTAAGGTTCTTGTACTGTGTGTGAAGGTGCAGTTCTCTTGGGTGAAAAAGGGTTTGTCACTTAGACTTTTAAAATATTAGGTTGTTTCTGTTTTGGCCTATTCAAGTCAATTTTTAAAAGTCTCAGTGTATTGAGTAATCAGCATTGGTTGCAGCTGTAATGCATCTGATTGACATATTTTCTTAAAACAGTTTTCAGCAGAAAAGGTTCCTGTCTCAGCTGGACTGAAGTGCAGTTGAGGTTTTTTGCCTGTCACTTTGTATTACAAGTTATGTGCCTCTTGCTATATGTGCATTCTTAATTTATTTTTTTTAGTTGTCCATAAACACCACATTTTATATGGACTGTCCCTTTGTTTTAATTGTGCTTCCCCAAGTGTTAGCTGAGCCAGAGGCTTTTAACTGGCAAAAGGGAGAGATTTTCATCTTGTTGGGGCTTATGGAAGTGCATTCATTTATCCTTCTGCATAGTCTGGTTTTGGAAAACAGAAGCCTCTTTTAGAGCATTTATTTCTGGAACAATTCAGTGGCAATAAAGCTGTAAGTGATTTTCTGTTGTAATGTGCTAAGTGAGACTACTGGATTTAATTCTTTTATATGGGCTCCCTGCATGTATGAGTTGGGGAAATACGGCTTTTTCAGATAGTCATCATAGATAAGTTAATTTGGCTTAACTGCTGAAGCAAAGTTCATTACTTTTAAATTGGCTTCACAAAGGCAGGTTAACAAAATGCAGAGTCTTAGCTGACAGATGCAACTTCTGAAGACACCTCAGGTTTTTTGCTTCTATAAGCATGAATATACTTTATACTTGATGAGATGTTCATTGCAAATTTGGGTGATTGTGTTTTTGTTCTGTGAAAAGTGTCATATATGATGAATTTTCACACTGAAAAAGTTCTTAATGAGGCATTGAATTTACTGGTAAAATGTTCATTTAAAATAATGTTTAGTTTGGTCTGTCCTGAAGAAGCATCTGTTACTGTTGAATGTTTTTGAATGAATATTACTTATACCATAGCTAATCTGACTGATAAGAATAGTTTTTACTGATAGCGAAAAAAGAAGCAAAAGCAGTTTTATGTTACCAAAAAAGCTGAAAATGAGGTAGTATTCCAGTTTTAGTACAGACCTAATATCTCACCTTAGAGATGTTACCAGTTTAAAACATGCAGTCATTCAGAGTACAGTTTGGGCACCCAAGTTTTGCTTATATAGCTTCTGCCAGCCCAAAATTGATGGACTTGTTATTTCAGGGCTCCAGATGTCTCTGAGTCTTGTTTTTCTGCTTGCCCAGAGCTAATCTGGCCTTGGCAGGGATGAGCAGTCCTGTTCACCTGAAGTGTTCCTTCATCTAACTTTGAGCCAGGAGTCTGCTGCACTTAAGTCCAGTTGAGACAGGAAGATATTTCTGCTGAAAGCACACAACTAAATACTTGCTCTTAAGTGTGAGCCCCAGTCCCTTACTATTGGTGGTTATTGGTATCAGCCACCAAGCCCCACACTGTCCCATCAGTGGGATCAGGAAGAGAATCAGAAGGGTGAAAGTGAGAAAACTCGTGGGTTGAGATAAAGAGAGTTTAACAGGGAAAGAAAAAGCCATGGACAAAAGCAAAGCAAACCAAGGAATTAATTCACCACATCCCATAGACAGTCAGGTGTTCAGCCATGTCTGGGAGAGCAGGGCCCCATCATGTGTCACGGTGACTTTAGTAAGACAAACACTATCACTCCAAACATCTCCCCCTTTCTCCTTCTTCCCCCCCCTTTATATACCGAGCATGATGTCATATGGTATGGAATATCCCTTCGGTCAGTTTGGGTCACCTGTCCTGGCTGTGTCTTCTCTCTACATCCCATGGACCCCCAATTTCCTTGCCAGTGTGACAGTACAAAAAGCAGAAAAGGCCTTGGCTCTGTGCAAATGCTATTCAGCAATAACAAAAACGTCTCTCTATTATCAACCCTGTGTTCAGCACAGATCCAAAACACAGCCCCATACCAGCCACTGAGAAGAAAGCCCCAGCCAAAACCACCACAATTGGTCATTTGGTAAAATGTCCTGATAGAATCTTGGAGCCAGTCTTCCCCTTCTCCTTCTTGAGTGCTTTAATAGTATCATAGGTTAGCTGTATTTCACATCCTTTATTTTTCTTTGGATTGAACATTGAGCTGCGTACAGTGCCCTGACTTCAGCAGGAGACGTATGGAGTGTGCAGATTGGTGGTTGGGATAATCTTGCTAATGCAGATGAGTTCCTTTGGTTCAAAGGAGACAATCCAAGTCTCCTTTCTTCTTACCTGGCCAAGTGCTTTAATAAGTTGCCATAGAAGAAGATGCTCTTGTCTCTCTGTCTCTTTTGAGAAGAGTAAAGCCTGTTACATTTATCTTAGTATAATGCAAATTCATGTTTACAAGGAAAGAAGAGTTCTGATGTGGACATTTGAGGTAGCAGATAAAGGCTGTCTGCAATCCAAAACATAGCATTCAGGTTAGAAAGTTCGGAACTGACAACTTTTCCATTTCCATTAGCAGCTCTAGTGGTGGTGTGCTGTTAGTGAGCTGAAAGCTGCCTCGGCTAGTCACTTGAGGTTTTAACACTGCTAGTGACGCAGCTAAGCACTCTGTCAGGGTACTCTAAGCTTGAGTCACCTCTCCTGGAGACTGTTGTTTGAAACTTGGGCTGTGTCAAGAACCAGGGGCCTGAGCACTGGCTGTATTGCTGCTAGTAAAAGCTGTTTGCAAGTCAGTTCAAGAGCTTTAGCATGCTCAGACAGTTCTTTTGTAGTTTCAAATACATATAAATGTGTAAATGCAAAGCATTCTTTGGTTATTTTTAGAATATGGTGGTTCTCAAACACCTTAATTTCAAACAGTGCTCTCAGAGAGTGCAGACACTGAATCTCCCAGCTCTTTATTCCACAGAAATGTAATTGAAGGTGTTAGGAATGGGAACTATGATTGAAGTGGTATCCTGTATTTGAATAGCAACATCATATCAAGCATGCAAGAGAGCTTAGAGTGTCTACTGAACTTGGATGACTGTAAAGTATGAAAGATAGGAACTTTTGTCAGGTGAAATTAGGGAACCAACATTTATTTAATTAGTTTCTGTAGTGGGTGCCCATAACAGTTTAAGGGGGAAAGAAGAATAAATGAAAGCAAGTCTGCTGAGTGACATTCTGCAAATAAGGTAATAGTTGAGAGATTTTAAGTTCCTTCACATTAAAAAAGTATTTTTGTGTTCCTTTTGCAAGCACATGTGTCTGTAGCTGTGCAGTCAACCAGGTCAGGGGACTGGTCTGAGGAAAAAAAAGAGCAATAACCTTTCTGATTTTATTCACTGTGTTATTGTACAAGGGCTTGTGCAAGCAGGAAGGAGAAAGCCAGGGCAGGTGCACATACTTTTAGTGGAAATACTGGCTTATGCTGTGTTTTCTCTGCAAGAAGTTGTGGCTGAAGGCAATTGTTGGAGGACTTGCATTAATTAGGATCTCAAGGTGGTTTTTTTTAACTATATCTGTTGATCCTGTGGCACTAAGAGGTCATAGGTAGATGCAGGTGAAATTACATGTTTTAGTGTCTATGCAGTGGTTTTAAACTTGTGTAGTCTATCAGTTACTGTCTTAACTGTGGACCTTTTGGAAAGTATAGAACCATAGCATGTGTAGTAAAATTAGAGGAGAGGCTTTGAAGATCAAGTGTATCTTCATCATGGTTTCTGGCTCTCTTGGATTGTGTATTGATTCCCAGGCATCCATGGACTGAAAGTTAAAATAGATTGTGAATATATTATTGATTTTATGTGTTATATTCATCTTTTTCTTTTTGCCAATAATTACAAAACATGAATGATTCAATTTCTCCGTCTGCTTCCATCACATATAATCTCCTTTATTCTGTCTGAAGAGGTGGAACTTTATATTCTGTGTTTTTGATGAAGACAGGAAGTTAAAATAATCCAAACAAATATGTGAAACAGTGGGAGTTGAACAATTTCATGTCTGGCTATTAAAATTACATAATGCATGACTGGTTTGAAGAGGAACTAATACAAGTATATACAACTACATGATTGTTTTTGTATTTAAGGTGCGTATAGCGGCAAAATTCATAATTCATGCTCCTCCTGGGGAATTCAATGAGGTGTTCAATGGTGAGTATCTGTCTGCTCTGTCCTTTCACTTAAGGCATCTATATCCAAAATTGTATTGCTGATCACTCCTGAATTTCATGTAGTTTACATAGTAGCAGCTCCCACACTATAAGAGCTGGTTTTGTAGCTTGGCATAATAAGCTTTTCAGTCAAAGATAGCTTGAAGTTTAAATGCAAAAGGAGGAAAGTACTACTTTTCTTTGTGATGTAAGAACAAGCTTTCTCTTCGTTTTTAATCAGTCATGAATTAACAGGTGCTGGGGTTTTCATTTAGAAACCACATGTACTAGTTTTAGTCTTTGATAAACAACTATATTTTTCAACAGAAATTAAACTAGCGGAAATTAAAATGGTCTTTTTTTCTGTTTTAAGAAGGAATAGCATTACAAATACTTAACCTTGAATATACAGAGGACTACTGCCTAATGCCACTTGTGGAAAGAATATTAATCTTCTCCAAACATTTCTGACCCCTTAACTTCTGGGCACACTTCATTTTAGAGTGTATTGGTAAACTGAAAGGAAATTTAAAATTACCTTATCTCAACTCTTGTTGCCGGAACTTTACCTAAGATGTTACTTTTCTTTAAGAATTGTTGTGTTTGTCTGGCATCAAGATATGTGGGCATACATATTGTATAAAAAGGCATATGTTTTATAGCTGTGGTTTACAAATGTCCCTGAAGCTATTTAAATAAAGAAGTAAATTAAGTATACTAAACCTGTGGTTCAATGTCAGACAGGAGAGAGCTTAAACTTGTTAAAGAATGCAATTCTTTTACAAGTCTCATTTTTGAGTTGAACTGTGACCAGCTGATTATTATTTAAACTTAACTAGTACTGCATTTGTGAAGTGAGCAGTTGGTGAGCAGCTTAACTCAGCTCCCTGAAGGTTATTAAAATTTCTTACAGTAGTACTGCTATAAATTTTGTTATTAAGCTAGTTCATAGGTGCAACTACCTGCTCAAAAATAATACGTTTGAAAATACATAGCAAACATTTGATCATAAATGTGCAACCAGTGTTCAATGAGATTCAGACTGCATACTTAAAAAGAGAAAGAAAACTTTCAGTTCCAATTCTGTAAATTGTGATTTTGTTTGGTTTAGGGGGGTGGAGGTAGTTGTGGAGTGTTTTGGTTTAGGTGAGGTGTTTTTTTTTTTTGGTTCATTTGAGGAGGGTTTTTTTGTTTGTGTGTTTTTTAAAGAAAAAATACTTCAAATACAGTCCAGGGTGGGGTTTTTTTCACTTCAATGATACCTTGGCAATATTTAGAAGAGTTTAATATGGTATGGCGAGACTAATGATTGGTTAGCTTATGAGCAGTGCATTAAGTTATTATTAAAACAGTGCCTAGTAAATAATAAGGAAGTAAGTCAAGTACATAAATAACAAACTTGCTCCATAGTAAATATGAAGTTATTCTGAGGAGAGTATTTACTTTATTCTATATTCATATGTTTCTTGTATGATGGTAGAAGAAATGCTGTTGTCATATATTGTCCTCTGACTAGTAGAGTGTCATTATGGAACAAGACCAAAATTGGTAAGGCTTAAAAAACAGTAAGTGCAACACATACCATATAAGTGTCATCAGAATACAGTAACAACAATATAGTGTGAGGGATTCGGTATTATACATCTTTAAAGTGAACTTGTTAGAATTCTGTGCTGTTCTCATTCAGAACTTCTCTAAAAACTAGTTTGACAGATTCCTAGAGCTATCACACAGCCTGTCGAATATGGCTTATATCTGCTTACCAGACTGTGTTGGAAGAGATCCATTTCTATACCATTCTTTTCATTTTGTTCAGTCAAAATTATGAAATATGAAGCAATAAACTGCCTACCTAGAAACTCAGTGGGTATGGGGTGGTTTAGGTTTTTTGCTTTGTACAGTCTGTTGACATTTGTTATGTGACTGAAACAAGTTTCTGAGTTAACTGTACTTTTATGTTGTAAATATCTCCTTTCAGATGTTCGGTTGCTGCTTAATAATGATAATCTTCTCAGGGAAGGAGCAGCGCAGTAAGTACCAGATGCCACATACTCAGTTGCATAAAAGCAAGATGTTTTTTCAGTTAGACTATCATAATCAGTAAGTGGTTTGTTTAAAAGATGTGTGCTTGGCAAGTAAAACTCTATTGTGTGTGTTGGGCATCTTTGATCAAGATTAAATTTTTGGCAGAGGAGAGATCTGTGTTGTATCCTAATGATTAGAGCAGCTGTTTTGGAAATGGATGACCTGGATTTTGGAATTAGTCCCCACCTTTTTGGATTTTGTTTCTGTTTCTTAGTAGAAGTTACTCAACATCTTAGACCCTACTTTTATGTCAAAACATTATGCCTACTGTATTTTATGCCAAAATTCATTTCATCTGTAAGAACAGAGATGTCTGGCTTAGTAAGTTGGATCCCTGTTGAATTTAAACTTTATCTCATCCTCCAGTTTCTATGGGTTACTTTAAAGCTTATGTGTTTGTCTACATCAGGTTAGTTTTGAACGTATATCTTTGTGAAATGGTGTTTAGAATCTGTAATATGAGCACTGAGTGAACCAAGATGATTCCAAGAATCTGGGCCTGCTAGATAATAAAGAATTGATATTTTTTTATGCATCATTGCTCAGATTATTAGCTATTACTTAAATATCTTACAGCTACTAAAGAAAAAGACTGTGCTTGATGCAGCCTTTTGTTGTTTTTTTCTCTTGTAGTGCATTTGCACAGTACAACTTGGACCAGTTTACTCCAGTAAAAATTGACGGTTATGATGAACAGGTATGAATACAACTAAATACTTGCAATCTTCCTTAAACTCTTAACGATGTTCTGGTATTGGAACATTTCTTGGCAAGAAAATTAGAAGAAATGCATCTTCCCCACCAAAGCATAGAGATTGTGCCCCTCCAGTAGTACCAGTTCCATAAGTTAATCACATAGGGGCAACTAAAAAGGTTGAAATTTCAGTCTGCAATGTTGGCTGAATTCAGTCAGATGTGTTTTGGAGCTGTAAAAATAATTTGCTTCATCTTCAGTACTAGAAGACATGAATTTATATCTTGCATTGTTTGTTGCAGTAAGAGGGTAAGATTCAAATTTGTTTTCTGAGGCAATGTATCACATTAGCCTTCTCTCTTGCTATATGCATGTTTTGTATGCATACAAAGTGTGAGTCTGGATGTGAGTAGGCTTCAGTTAAATGTCAGATATAATCAGATTGGACATGGCATTTCTTTCCCTCTTTATTAAATAGCAAATGTTAATAATTTAATTAAAATGTGTATAATTTAATAAATTTTATATAATATAGATATATATATCTATATAAATGTAAATGTAAAATTTTAACTAAAATTTTAATAACCCAGGTTTTGATAACAGAACATGGTGATTTGGGAAATGGAAAATTTTTGGATCCCAAGAACAAGATTTCTTTTAAATTTGATCACTTAAGAAAGGAGGCTACCGATCCTAGACCCCACGAAGTTGAAAATGCCATAGAATCGTGGAGAAATTCAGTTGAAACAGCAATGAAAGCATATGTGAAGGAACACTATCCAAATGGTGTTTGCACAGTAAGTGCTAAATTACATAACCACTGTACCACTATAGATAGAAATAAATTTTAAAAAAGTAGGTATTTGTAAACCAGGAAGATAGCAATTTTGACTGTAAAGAACTTAGTCCTGTCAGGAATTCATACAGGGAAATAAGGGAAGGCTTCAGAAGTTTAATATTTCAGCTATTGGATTATTAGTAGGTGGTTACTGTAGGTCATAGTGAAGACTTACCTTTCAGTTTTGAAGCATTTTTATTTAAATTTCGTAAAGCATTAAGAGCTTCTGAGGACTACTGCAGGTTGATCCCACTGGCTACCTGGCTGGTTGCTTGGGGTGGGGGAGTGTGGGAGGAAGGGGCTGGCGGGAGGGAGAGGAAATCCATGATACAAATGTCTGCCTTAACTTAGTTTACTGAAAACTGTCTTAGTAGAGCAAACTGTTTTCTCTCCATCATATCTCCTATATGTCAAAGTGCTGTATTCTTACCAGCAGAATTGGAGGTTCTTACGGCTTCTTAAAGTAAAACCTCTCAGTCTGGACTAAAATGGCATTCATTTGCTGTTACAAGCCCTATGACTATTTAAACCTCAGCAAACTGATCTACTGGTAGCTGTCCTGTGCTTTATGTTGATGTGACAGAAAAATTAACTAGGGAAAAAAAATAAATCAGTTGCTGAATTGACAAGTTGGATTGGATTCCCAGGCAGTCAGATGAGTTCCAGCTCCCGTAAAGGAAACCAGATTGGATGTTCATTGAGTTAATATTTAGTAGTATTTGATTTTGGGGGATAAAGCAGAACAGAGGACCAAACCTGCCCATTTAGTTAACTTTTTTGCTATTCTGTACAGGCTTAAATCATCATTTAAGTGTAGAAGAACTGGTGTTTGAAACCAGCTGGTAATATATATATATATAGCCTCTGTAGTCACTGCTATAGGCTTAAAATTCCTATAGTTGCAGACAAATGAGTTCACATAAAATTCAGTTAAGATGTTTGACCTTCAGGTTTTCTAATCTTAGATTTTTCTGCTTTGTAATAAACACTTTTAATGTTTCGTGTATGAAATATTATGTAAGAACCGTAATGGTTATAAAATGAAATTTTACAGTTTAACAGTAGTAGAACCAGATAGCTCTAAGCAGTTTGAGCAAGATATACTGAAACCTGGACTCTGTTCTTTTTTTTACTTTTTTTACTCTTCTTGTTTTTTCTTAATTCAGGTGTATGGTAAAACAATTGATGGACAGCAAACCATTATTGCATGCATAGAGAGCCATCAGTTCCAAGCAAAAAATTTTTGGTAAGTTTCTGTATGATACACACAGAATAAAATACAGCAAACTGATTAAGTGCCATATCACTGATAATCCTTAGTTCAGAGAAAAAGATGAGTACACATCTTATATGTGACTTTTTTCTCCCTCCACCCCACTCCACATTTTTCTACCAAAACTGTAGAAATGTCTTCCTTCGTGGTAAGTAGAATGTGAGACTGCATGCCTGCATCTCCTTAGCGGAATTTATAAAATTCCATATCACACTGGCACCAATACCATGGCTGTATTCCCTAATGCAGTTGCTTTTGTGTGTGTTGCTTCCTTTGTGATTGACAGAATAAAACCAGCTTCTCCTGTTTTGAATGTCTTAGAGAAGTGACCAGATATTATTTACAGTAGGATTTGAGTGATTAATTTTTGTGAGAGGTAGGTCAAGATAATTTTGGATGAAATGAACTCTTACAAACTGCACATTTCTATTTTTTCTGGACTTGGTTGATAGATGTTTTCCACAGTCTGGAGTGAACTTTGGATAGCACCTTACAGGAAACTGGCCAGAGTTTAAATATCACAGTATCAGGAATGGGTTAAGGAGGTTATACCCTAAAGATAACTAATATATGCAGCTGTCTGAAGAAATGTATTTATTATTTTATTTGCTATTTTGCATCTGCTTGAAATTTATATTTAGTAATCCCGTGGGTAATGACTGGAAGTGCAGAAATCTTTGTTTTCTAATGCTGAAGGTGGATATTACATATACATAGTAATTTCACCATGCGTATATATCAGTTAAATTATTTGCCCAGTACAGCGATTTTTATTGAATTGGTACAGCTAATAAGTTATTTTTCCTATTGATTTAAACTTGACTAGTTAAGTCTGCATGTTTTACATCAATACTAAAAGTAACTTGAAATAATAATACTGATTTTCTTTTTCGTTTGGAAGTGTGAATGAATTTTGATATTCCAAATAGTTACTTTAATATTATAGTCTTTAAAGAAGAGAGATAGATGTGTAGCAACGTTGTATAGAGAAAATGTTTCTTGGAAGTTTTCTTTATTAAAGTTATGGGTAAATATTTACCATGTTTCTAAGAGTTTTTCAGGGGGATAGTCAGACTCTAATTCTCTTTCTTAGCAAGTTGTAATAATGCATATTGATTTGGGGGGATAGGGGAATGGAGAAATGGATTCAAAGTTAACCAGGCTCCTCAATGATCCAGCGGTATGTCTGGATATCCAGCCCAAGCTACAGGCAGTATTTATCCTCAAGGTGTCCTAACTTCTTAGGCATTTGGAAGACTGTCAACCTACCATGAGAGCAAGTTTGTGGATGATAGAAAACCAATACATACCAAAGAAAAATACTCTATGATTATCTGAAATACTATTAATGTAGTAGGATAGATGCCTTATTAAAGAATGTGGAAGAAAAGGAAGGATAGTTAATCTCTTGCAAAACATCTGAAGTCAGCAGAGCCAAATAAAGTAATAACATTTTTTTTACCTCAGAGCATCTTTAACTCCTTTAAGGGCAAAAAAGATATCCCAGACTGGAAACACTGTGGTCTTCTTAACTTCAAGGGACCACAAAGTGGCTAAGAAGCAAACAAATCTGTTAGCTAGCTATTGAATCCCAGGCATCTAAAAACTATACCTGAAGTGTAGTTCAGCATGTAAGCTTTCTCATAACCAATGGGTTAGTCTATAAGGCTACCAGTAGTGTCACTGAGTTGGGCAACCTTTCAGTGTTTTTTCAGTGATGCTAACAAACTTCTGAATTGTCTTAGTTTGAATTTTCAGTGATAATTTGGAATTTGTCTGAAATAATAACCAAATGCTTTATAGTTAAGTTATTGTTGTTTGTATCTAAGATGTGTCATTATATAGATTCATTAGTAGCTGTTAATTTTAGTATTTTATCTCTTTCTCTCCCATTGTTGAATGCACTGGAACTTACACCTAACATTAGCAGGACTGGAACTCCTATCAACTTTCTTTCCTTCTTTAAGTGCAAACACAAGAGGAATCAAGGAGAGCTGTAGTGCATTCTTAATACAGCTTCAATGTACTAACCTAATCCACTAACCTCATAACTGAATAAGAAAATGTCTAGTCTACAGGAAAGAAATCAGGTGAAACTGCACTCTCCTCATACTGTTTTCCAGATGTTTGAAACTCCCTTTAAGCATTTTGACAAGGATACTGAATTTGTGGAAGAGAACTGGAAGGAAATAGTTGTCCTGGAAGGGAAATGCTAGAAGAGCTGAAAGGCCTAGTTACAGCTCAGCATAGCAGAAAGTCTTGCTACTTGAATGTTCCTTCCATTCAAGTTTTTGATAGCCTGAGGTGAAGCATGACTTTGATTGATCCAGCAAGTCATCCAGGTCCTGGAAACAAAATATTGACTGTAGATGCCTAATTAATGCTGAAAGACGGAAAGAACACTGGAGGCTTTAGGTATTTTCAGAAGTTAAGTCCTATTCTTAAAATATCCTTACTAATAAATCTCTTTGGTCTGCACTGAAAACTGAGGTTAAATATTTTGAAAAACTGTTCTGTTCTTCGCTGATAGAGGCTAAGTCTTTAGGGGAAGATTTTGTGCATCTGTAGTTGCACTGCAGATTTAATTCTCTGGTTTCCTTTGACTCTTAAGTGTATGTTGGGATTTTTTTTCTTAACCAGTGGGGTGACATCCAATTTCTGTTTTATTGTTTTTTAAAGGAATGGCCGTTGGAGGTCAGAATGGAAGTTTACAATCACCCCTTCAACCACTCAAGTGGCTGGCATCTTGAAAATTCAGGTATGCTTATCTCAAACTGTGTCCTGGTCAGTAAAGTCTCCAGTTATTACCGAGGGAGACTCAGGCCAGTGTATTAAATATGTTAAGAGAATTTGGGTTCCCCATAAGCAAAGCAGCAATTCAGTTACATGTGAGTGACTTAATTGCATATTTACCTAATCCTTACAAACACAAAATATGTGTTTAATGTAATGATTCAGAAGACTTCAGAAGGTGTATTCACCTCAGCTAGGCATATACCTCTTTGGTTTCCTATTTCTTGAATTCATGGTGGGACAAGTCTTTCCTGAGGATAGGCCCTCTCTGAAGTAGAACTTTTTTTTTTTCATTTTAACTAATAATAGGGTTTTTTTCATGTTATCCTATTGTTCGGAACCTGTGGTTTCAGCAATTGCACTATCAGAAATTTTTTAATCTGAGTCTTCTTCATTCAGAATTTGCCCTTCCTGTTGGCTTTAGGGCATTCAGAAAGGAGGAATTTGAAGCAGGCAGAAGTCTTGACACCAAAGGAAGTCTGACTGTCATGTGGTAGGCAGGGAGACGACTTCCTGGATTAGTTCTCTGGAATGTGTATGCATACTTTGCAAGAGTTTATTAAAACAGTTCTGGGATCAAGGACTAGAATCTTAGTGCAGTTTGACTATCAGCATAGTACTTTATTATGTTTTTTATAAGATACAGATCAAGTTCCCTTCTTCTGCTCTTTTTGTGCCCCCATGAGTTTTGCTCATCCTTACTGCTCAGTGATGATTTCAGAAGGAAGATGCAAAGGGATGTTTTTCTAGCCATAGCCTGAGGCTAGGATGATATTTTAGGATGTGGTAGCTGTGTTCAGATCCACCCAAGCAAGGGAACCTGAATCTGATTTCCCATTCTGGGGCACATTCCATAACATTTGTAATGACAGTCAAAATCTGGACACCTGTGATTGTGTTGTCGGATCACAACGGTCATAGTAAGCAGCACCTTAAGTAACTTCTAGGCTTCTCAAGACTTTGTCACTTAAATTCAGCTTGCAGCAAAACAGACATTTTCTGCACAGCACACACTTTTGAGTAAATGTCTTCAGAGGTTTTCCAGAACAAGGAGGCAGGTGTCTACCTAATTCTATAAAAGATTAGCCCAGTAGCCTAGAAAATAGTTCAACCAAGGAACTTAACTTCTAATCAGCTTTTCAATTTGGGCACCAGCTGATTTTGTCTTTTCTTACTATTTCACATAATAAATCAAGTAATTATTTACATTCATTAAAGTCTGTGTTCTGGAGAGTGATGAGAAGTTCTACTTTTATTGCTTGTATAGGAAATAGTTGTTTCACCAAGGAATTTTGAATTCACTTTCAAATTTTTGCAAATTGTGTACAATTTCTTCAGTGTATGTGGGAGTGATCCCCTTTCATCTCTCAAAACAAACAAATAAAAAAGGTGCTTTTAATTTTTTTTTAAGGAGCAAAATAATCTAGAATATCAACTCCCTAAAACATGAGTGAAATTTGTGTAATTTCAGTGTTGTTTGCAAAATCTTTGACAGCAATATGCCATTGCCCTATTTCTGATAAGGCCTTTTATGAATAAGTTGGGGGAAATTGCAGCATCACAGGTGTCTTCAGCATTTCTAAGATCACTTGCACAATTTCTTCTTTTTTTTAATTTCTCTTTATTCTAATACAGGAGATTGTCAACTGTGAGTCTCTTCCATTGTTTAATTTTCTTTTTGTTCTGTATGTAAGGGGAAAGGTAACAGCAGAACTTTTTACTAAAACTAAGTCCTTCTAGTGCTTAACATGTTCAAACTGTGCATGGAAAACTAAGTGTACTGGTTACTAATTTTATCTCTTAGATAATTAGTTATTCACATCCCTCCTAACTTAACCCTCCCCAGAGGTTCTGTTCATAAACATCCTCCTTCTTGTAGTCTTCTGAACCCAGACCTAGCATTCTAGAAAGATGTCAGTGCGGAGGTATAGTACAGAACACTTATGTCTCATATTTAGTTTAAGATATAACACATCCCAGAATAAGATTTGACTCTTCATCCCTGTTAAGATTTTAGGCCTGTTTGCCAAGAATATGATTCAGTGACAGATAAGATGTTTGTGCTGGGGTTGGCCTGAGAGCACAGAGGAGGTTTGGGCCCCTGCAGTGGATTGTCATGGACAAGAGGGGAGATTTATATTTCTTTGGGTTTTGCCATTTCATTGGGATTCCTTAAAATTTTGCACTGATTAGGCACTTCTCATCTTTTCGGAATTGGATTGAAAAAGGTTGGCAGAAGTTTCACCCAGCAATGTTTGATTTGAAAAGAAACTTATTTTGTGGTTAGGTTGATGCCTTTTGTTGCAAAACAAGTATTTGACAATAAGCAAAATAATCACGTAAGATGAATCGTAGGAAATAGTTTTTTCTCATATAGGAAACCTTTCTTTTGCAATGGTATTATAGCTCTCTTATTATGTGTCATGTTTTTTCTATTGTTATTTATAAAGATGAGAGTCTTTTGCACATATGATCACAATGCATATGAAATTACACTATTGTGCATTAATCTCAAAATTAAAATGTTATCTTGTCTAATAGGGTGAGACACAAATGTTTCATTTTCTCATATTGTCAGCTATATTAACTACCTTGACTTTATCAAAATTGTAAGAAAATCTTTAAAGATACTTGTTTAAATGTCAGCGACCTGCATAACTCTTCTATATCAATTATTGTGAATGATTACATGTAATTTTATATATGCTTCCTAGTTTTTAAGTTTTCTAACAGTTGCATTAGGAACTAATTGTTTTCAAATCCTTCCCAACTGAATTTAAAAGTACTAAAGTTAGCTTGGGGTAGAGTTTTACTAGTCTCCTCCTGCAAAAAAATCAAGGAAGCTGTTCTGTAGATACAACGTTTCAAGAGTAAATAGATATTATCCTGCTTTGCAATCTAACCTCAGCAGACTTTGTTCCAAAGAACTCCCTTGTCTAGATAAATACCAGCTTTTGTTATGAGCCATATCTAATAGAGGAAAATATCAAACCCAGGCAGATCCAGAAAGGGAAGCCTAATGTTGCACTGTCCCTAGGAAACAGTTTGGGGGAAGCAGAACAACTTCATAGTGTCCTGAAACCTTGCCAAAACTATTCTAATTTTAAATATATCTTCACCATTTACAGTAGTCAGCTCTATTCATTTCAGGCGTTTCTAGTAAGGTCATGTAAATTGTATGTTGTCGTCTTCATTATGTTAATCAAAACCTAAACTTCTTTGTATGAAATACTGCATAAGGCACATCAACACAAAAATGTTTCCAGAGTATCCTCTTTAGTAATCCCCCTCAAAAATAGTAAATTCTACAATATTTTGGTTTTCCTATTTGCTTTTGTTCTGTAACATTTTATATGCCATTTTGGTTGATTTTTATAGGTTTGTTACTATGATAAATAACACAATACTTTGATTTTCCTGTTATGTTGTTGATCTGTAACATTAAATGCGAGTTTTTTTGTTTAATTGTCTGTAGGTTCACTATTATGAAGATGGTAATGTTCAGCTGGTGAGCCATAAAGACATACAAGATTCTCTAACAGTGTCTGTAAGTGAACTTTAAGGACCCTAATGGGTATATTGAAGTGACTTCTTAATTTAAAAATAAAAGCAAGCTTAAAAAAAGCTCAGAAGTTTGGAGGCAAGTTTGTTCTTCTGCATGCATGGGAATTAATGTTTTAATTTACAAATATTTTGCATGTGATATTTACTACTTTTACCTAATATGTAGTTAGTGTTTAAAAAAAGTAAAAAAAGATAAAATTAATGTATGCTTGCATGTGGCTTGTATAAGTTAAAATAACTTTGATATTAAAGCTTTAACTAGCTTGCTGTCAGTCTTTCTGCACTTTTGTTGTATTTAAACTTTTGTCTGCCGAGTGACCTATAGAATTAATTTTGGAATATGAGGGAGGTTTGAGTTATAATAACTGACTTTAGTAGGAGATTGCCTCCTTTGCTTGCTAGGAGAAGACCAGTATGCTAAAAATAGTAAACAAATGCTACCAGTTCAGAAGTAGTGGTAGGTATTCTCTTCATTTTCTCCCTGTCTGTAGCTGGTGCTGTCAGCCTCTTGCTTTTCTGTACAAAAAGCCCTTTCACAGATGCTTTAGCTTGAGAAGTATAACACACTTTATATTTAAAGCATCATCTTTTTCAACTTCTTTTGAAATGGATCATTATAGTAATGAGGAGCAAACAGTAGAAATAAAAGTTGCTTGGAAATAGTACCAGATGAATCTTTTAAGGGCTGATAATGTTGCAGCATGAACAATTACTGCTTTTGAAATAATGTGTTTATAATTGTGTTTATAAGCAGTAAGATTTTCTGTTGGAGTGTTTTTTAATAAAACTTAAGCCAGTGAGGTTAAACTGGCAAAGAGAAATTGTAAAAGTGAACAGTAGAAGTATTTTAATGATAACGACTAGCAGTAACCGATTTGGCTCAAAAGCTCAATTCATCAATAAAGAACATTGTTTATTAATACAAAGCGAGGCTTGTTGGCTTTTCAGTTGCAATAGCACCATAAAGAATGGGGGAGTGTGGTGCCAACTGATAACACTTCTGGAGCAGTAGATATAAAATTACTTTTGACTCCCTGAGCAAAGGGATCTATTTAGTCTTTCATTCATATAAGAGTTATTTCAGGGAAGATTATGTAGATGCAGTTCTCCTTTCAATAGCTTTTGCTTCACTTTCTGTTGGGAAGAAATTTAATTCTGTTTTGCAATTCAGTAAAGCAGCAGAAGACCGATGAGCAGGAAAACATCTTTTACATAACTTTGCTAGAACAAAAGCAAGTATGCTGCTGGTTACGAATTTTTAACCTTGGCTTTGAGCTTTATAGAGGGCAGAGGCTGTACAAGTTCCTATTTCACACAGAAGAAATGGTAGGTAGATTGACCTACCAGGTAGGTAGGAGTCTCAATGGCTTCTCTTTTTTGTTATTGCAGAGAAGCCATTTTACACCATCAACAGGCACAACTGAAATAAATGAGGTGTGAATAATTTTGCCGAAGGTTATTTTCTTATCCCTTATTTTTCTCTGAGACAAATAAGACCTCATATCTCTGATTTTTTCCTTTCATTAGCAGAGCCTTTGAAAGCATTGCCCCTGTTCACTGAAAAGTCAAAACCCTTTCCTTTGTTTTTCTTGGTCTTTGCTGCTTCCTTCATCTCTCTTGCAATGTCCAGGACCACTTTCACAGCTGCTAAGTGCAGTTTCACTGAAACTTTGAAGCAGTTATAGTTGAAGTTGTCAGTTTTCTCCCGGTCTTTGCCTTTGTAGGAATGAGGGATCACATGGGACAAGAATACTCCTACCTTTTAACAGCTTCTGCAAAATCACCTTTGGGAATGTCTCCAATGCTAAGTTGGAAGTTTGGAAATTCATGAACTATCACTTCCTTCTTGAGACTTCTTTCAAGCACTTCAGCTAATTTGCCTCCAGATTGACTGGTGGAAAATGTTTTATTTTTAAAACAAATGTACATTTGCATCCTTAAACAGTTTCTTGGCTTCCAGCCTCATCCTTTTCAGTCTTCATGAAATTTGGGCATAGTGTTTGCACCCTGATTTTTACAAGATGTATTTGGGGATGTTTCTAGAAGACCAGGTGTATAAAGTCTAGTGTTTTCCTCAGCTTAGTCTCCAGATTCAGAATCACAGAATCTGTTGAGTTGGAAGGGACCCCCATGGATCATCGAGTCCAGCCTTAGCCCTGCACAGGACCATCCCCAAGAGTCACACCATCTGCCTGAGAGTATCATCCAAACATCTCTTGAACTCTGTCAGGCTTGCTGCTGTGACCACTTCCCTGGGGAGCCTGTTCCAGTGCCCAACCACCCTCTGGGTGAAGAACCTTTTTCTGATATCCAACCTAAACCTCCCCTGATGCAACTTCAGGCCATTCCATCGGGTCCTGTCACTGGTTGCCCCTCCTCTTCCCCTCATGAGGAAGTTGTAACTGCAATGAATGTTCAGAGGTGAACATATCTGTTTTGGTTTTATGGTTGTCTTCTGCTATAACTTCTGGTTTAGCTGGTGCTTCTTAGATTTGTACTGGAAATGTAGCATGCCAATACTTGGCATGTTTTTAGAGACTTGTGTGTGCATTGTCATATTTCCAAATGCTGTTCTGTTCCGTATGTCTTTTTATCATACCGTAGAATTTTTAATCAAAATATTTTAATAAGCTCCATAGTAATCTTTATGCTTGTTGCAGTTTGGCTGAATATGCCTTTTGGATTAATGTTTTGTTCAGTTTTCGTTTAGCCACTGAATATGGTCAAGTGTTCTCATCGAGTCTACCTGATATTATTCATAACTATAGGAAAAACATAATCTAACTGGTCCTAGAATTATGCTGTATATCAGACTAATTCAAATGCTTTTTTCCTAGAATGAAGCCCAGACAGCGAAGGAATTTATAAAAATCGTAGAGGCTGCAGAAAATGAATATCAGGTATGTTGGAAACAAATGCTGTATCCTTACTCATAGTTATAGCATTACCATATACTTAGCCAAAGCCAGTATTCTGTAACTAGCAAGCTTTTGATATTAAGATAATGCAGTTCCATATATATAGATAACATGCTGCTGTTAACTCTGTCTTGCCTTTCCATACCTTTTAGGGATTGTGCTCACCTACTTACCATTACAGTAGAAGTAATTTTTTGAGAGCAGAAAAGCTATTAGCAGGATCAAATATCAGCAATTCTGATCTCTTTAAGCATTAGTGCATTCCTTAAGTGGAATTTTTGTACAGATTCTGTTCAGAGGCTACTCGGACAATTTTGCTAAATATTAATAGGCATTACCTATTTCAATTAGTCATTTCAAAGTTAGAAAAGTGTAACTGTTCTGGATACTCTCTGCAGAAGTGGATACTCGTTCATTCAGGTCTTGAACATAAGGTAAATTTAGACACTATGTTCTGTCAGCTTGAAAAAAAAATGCTCTTTAATAAAGAATTTTTAAATAGGTATAGTATGCATTATATTCAAGTTCATACAATGTTGTGGACCGGCTTTACCACCTTCCTAGTAAAAACAGCTGGGAGACTTTGGTGTCTGGAATTACTGATGTACGTGCTAACTCTGATCAGCACTGTATTCATGCTGCTGATTAACCACACTGGTTTGCTGAAACACCTTGGCTATGGGCAGGTTTATTACATGTCTCACTAATTTTCTTCACGTAGTTTCAATCTATATCTAACAGCTTTCCTTCATAAAATATTATTTTAATTTAGCATGGTTTTATTAAGCCTGTTTAAGAAGTAGCAAGCTTCTCAATCATTTAATGTTTATATAGCATCCTAGTTCTGTTCTTCATGTGTCTTTGTTTTGTATGACTTTGTGTTTAACAGACTGCTATCAGTGAGAATTATCAGACTATGTCCGACACTACTTTCAAGGCCTTACGTCGACAGTTGCCAGTTACCCGCACCAAGATTGACTGGAACAAGATCCTTAGCTATAAGATTGGAAAAGAGATGCAGAATGCTTAAAGTGAACGTTGCATGACTGGATCGTTTTAGTGTCCTTGTATACAAATAAAAATTATTACAAAAAGTATTTGGAACTGTCAGATCACCCAGTCAGCATGGGCTTTTGCCATTGAAAATCACTGTAAGTAGTTTGGTTAGAGCACAAAGCTTAGCTAATTGACTTTTTTCCTTTTTCCTTCCTTTCAGAGGGTTGCAACTTCAGTATAGCTGAGTATCTTCCTTTAGAGTCTCTGTTGTACCTTTATTTTTTTATAATGAAGAGACCATGCCTTTAGTTTTCAATTACACGTTAAGAACAGTTTGGAAAAATATTTTTGCATATGATAACCCTTTCTCTTGCTTTCATGTGAAATGGACAACTTCCAAAATTTGCTGGGTTCCTTGTGGAGATCAGTAATGTGCATTTCTAGGTCAAGGTCAACATGGAGTTCGCCATAGGTGCTGTTGTAGAAATCGTCTGTCTGTTCATTTTATGTAAAATTGGGAAAAGCGTTTTCTGTATCATTTAAACCTGTCAGAAGACTTACCTAGCTAGGTCCATGGTAGCTAAATTTTTTTTTTAAAGAAAAGGCCAAGGTCTAATGCTGTTTTAAGACTTTGAAATTAAATAAAAGTACTTACTCCAGAAATGCATTTAATGCTTTGTTCTGACAATTACTTAAATGAGCTCAAACTCCATCTGCCCTCGAGCTTTTTTATCATAAAGCTACAAATGTATTATAACAAGGCATATTGTAATATATATAATCCTGTACTCATTACTATGTCTGTTTATTTTTTCTTGAATTGAAATGTACTAAAATTCAATGTGACATTAAAATGCAAATTTTCTATTTATTTGAGTATCAGATTCCTTCCTGATATAGCCTGGTTTTAGTGTTTCTAAATATTTTTTAAATTCTGCTTAAAACAGCCACAAACTTGTGTATTTGGAGATTGTAATATTATCAGTTGTTTCCATCTGCATTTAAGAAACATCTACACATGGAATTCTACTTAAAACAGGTATCTTTTAGCTTCATATTGGCTACAGAGGATGGAAGAAATTACAAGACCAAAAATTAATACATGTGTCTGGAGAATACCTTCCCTGATGTATCTCATATTGAAAATGTATGTCAGGTATCTAAAAACACAGACTCCATTATAAATGCTGTATAGCACTTCTATGAAATGCATAACTTTCATTTTTAATTAGATAAAAATTTGTTCTACAATATGCTACATACTTATATGCTCATGATGGAAAATTAAAAAGCTTTTTTATTTTTGAGAAGGCAAGTATTCATGCTCACTCCTAAACAGTAAAGCTTACACAAAGGTTTTATGTCTTTGTTTACAGCATGATTTAATTAACTACCTTTAACTCTCAAGTTACAGCATAGCAAGAGAAAGAGTCTAGACTTGGTACTGAGTATAAAAAAGTACACACAAAGTAGTTTGCTGTTTGAATTGTAATAGCAATACTCCAATATTCTGTTCTTCAGTGCTCTCTTATACTGGGTTATAGACGTTCTTGAAACTGCTGCTACTTTACAGTACTAAACTGTACAGTAGAAGAATGGGATTTGTTCTACCACAGTCTTCCTGGAGAGTTGCTCTCTCAATTGTCTTTGTATATAAGCTACTGACCTGTGATGTTCTTTTAAAATCAGCTTATAAAAGTAGTATGTGAGCCAATAACAAATGCTGAGTCATTGTCAAGTCAGTCTGTCAATCTTAACTAAGATCTAAATACAAACCTTCTTCAAAGAATTTCGTCCAACCTATTTGAGAACAAGCTAAACAGCAGTGAATGGAGAACTGTTAATGGGCAACAATGGTGCATATAACTTTTCTAGCTGTTTAGAATGTTGTGTATGACCAGAATCAGCACTGGCTAAAAGTCAGAATGCTATTTTTCTTACCTGAAATTAAAAGTTACTTTTAAATATATTCCTAATAAAGAGGTATTTTACTGTGAAGTACTCCATTACTGTATTTCCCTGTTTATTCAGTCCTGTGATAGTCTTAATTCCTTATCTTGAAAGAATAGCATCCTTCAGGTTCAATTCTGCCAGTTGGATGACAAAGTAGATTTGTATTACTTATATTTTTTCTTGTTGTGGTAATTCTTAGTCTGTGAGATAACTTTACAGGTGGAGCACCAAATTTATTAAGTTATAGCTTCAATAAAGCCATGTCTAAGTAAATCAACTATTCTCTTACTTTTTCAAAATGGTGTTGTATCATATTCAGGGCGTAATGACTCTGCAGATGAAGCTGACCTGACTCTCAGCTGAGGCACATGACATATTCGGAATGCTTGATTTCTATCAAGATTTTGGATGTCACTTGCACTTTTTTTGTTTCTATCCCTACCCCTTTTAAATTGGAGAACTTTAGAGCTTGCTTGTTAGTCTTTAGGGTATTTTGTGTAGGTAAAGCACTTTCTCTGAGAAATTTTGCTATGGCAATTGTCTTAATGTGAATTACTACTTGTTTATATTCTATTTTTAAATATAAATACAAGCTTTGTATTGCAGAATGTTGATGTAATAGACATTATAGCTTGTAAAATGGACTTGTACAATGCTTGCATTTTTGAAGTGTATTACATCTTGTGCATCCTAGTGCCCCTTTATATGAAGGAATTTTTAACTTCTGCAAGTAAGCTGAACTTTTCTGCTTTTGGTTTCTCCTGAGCAGCCTCTTTTTGTATGACTGTCTTCAAATTCATACTGTGGGTAGAATGAAACTTTAAAATCATTGTCAGTTTGATTACACCGTTACTACTTCTTATGCTCTACATGCTGGTAACAATTCTGCCATCTGGCTCCATTGGGAACACTGCAACGCAGTTCATTGGGAAGTGGTCATTCAGCCCTGGGTTAAAAGCATTGCATGAGACCCAACATCCCAATAGATGTGGTTTCTGTAGGGGATGGCTCCAGCTGCAGCTACAGTAATGTAGTTTGTGCAGTTTGGGAGCAAATCCCTCTCTCATCCTCACTTGCCCCAGACTGGTTTGGCTGCCAAAGCCATTTTGGTGTGCTTGAGTTCACTTCCTTTTGGAGAACTTGGAAGTGGGCTCTGGGTATGCACCAGATGCCCTCCAGCTCTGAATGGTGACCCAAGTCAATAGCAGTGTTTCTTTCAGGCAGCTTGAAACCACCTATGTGTTGAAGATGTCTGAAGAATCAGACTAAACCTGGCCTTCAAATTTCCAGACTGTATATACCATGGGTATAGAAGTTTACATCAACTGTTTGATTCTGTGGATTCACTTCTATCGTATTGAATCACCTGCGGACACAGACATGGCTTCTGCTGCATTTGTTGACTGGAAAGACTGAAATTGTTCTTCATCTGATGCAACTGTAAACTAGGTTTAGATTAAACTTAGTTTGTTCATAACCTTGAAGTGTCAATTTTTGTGTGACAGTTACAACTCTAAATTTTATTTTAATGGGAAAATTTGCATCAGATTTTAACCAAAAAAAGTCAATTTTTCTCTCACATCTAAAAGAAAGGAACTTGAATATGCACTTTATTCCTTCTGTGAAAATGAATGCTTAGTATTTCGTAGGTTCTCTTATTAGCAATATTTTCCATTGCTACTGTGATTGGCTTACCTGTAAGAGGTATTGCTCAGCACGATGTTAGCCATGCGCTTGTCAGAAGAAAGAGTGGTAATCGTTGCCTTAAAGGATGTATTCTGTAAACACATTCAGACTTTACTGTGCATCTTTACTTTGCAAATCAATAAAATTGTGCAGGGGCAAATCTGTCAGGTTTGTTCCTCTTAACAGGAGTGTGTAGAGACTTTTGCCAGACTAGCTGTAGTTTGAAATAATGTCAGATCAGAAACAACTTCCAGCTTACAGGGTTGTAAATACACCTACTAAAGTAGTAGGTGGTTGGTTGGTTTGGAAGGACACCACCACATGCCCGTAATGACTTGTAGTAAATACTCATTTCAGTTTTGTATTTAAATGTGCTTATTAATTTTCAATGTCAAGTGTATACTGAGTACAGTTGCTTTAGGCATCAGGGAAAGAACTGAGAGTACTTCCTTTAATAAATAGCTTCCCAGTGTGCAACTCAATTTGAGTTACGCTTCAAGATTATTTCAGAAATTACTTAAGAATGTTAATGTAGAAGGCTGAGCCGCAACTTTGCCACACCATTGTGAATGCAAGACAAGCATTGTTGTGAGTCGGGGTTCAGAAAAACATGCTCAAAATCTCTTTCCTAGCAAGTAAAAATGCCCCCAGAGGCCTTGCCAATTACAGTGCAACAGCCTACTTCTGGTATATCTGGAACCTAGAATACTTTCCCTCAAACACAGAGAAGAGAGTTTTAGTCCTCTGAGGTAAAGAAAGGACTCGGCCTCCCTGGAGCAAATCTTCTGGCTTAAAGAAAATAAGGCTATCTGCTCTTTTGCAGATGAAGCGTTTATGAACCTAACTGAAAAATCACAGCTGCAAGCTCTTGAGTGCAGGAAAAATACTTAACATTCCTTCTCTTGGGATGTGGATGCAGTGGATGTATTTTCCTTGTGCTGCTTGAGCAGCCTCCCTGCCAAGTGTGCAGGCTTTCTTGGGTACTGGGTGGTAGTGTGTATTGTCATGGACTGGGCATCTGTTGCAGAGGCAAAAGTTAGGTGCCCAAAGGCAGAAATGTTCAAATTCTTGCTGTGCTGTGAAGGTGCTAGAAGGGCCAATTGTGCAGCAAGGGGCCCAAAGATTAGCCCTGGGATTTGAGACACTGTCATGCTGCCTTTTCCCAGGTAAGGCAGCACATCCAGTTGTTAACACAGGACATGTCAGTAAAATGATAAGAGGTACAAGATTGTGATGAGCTATGATTTTCTTTAAGGAAGAAAGGTGCCATGTGTTTCCACTCAACCAAGCCTGCCATTCAGCCTGGTAACAGGGAGCCTGACGCTGCAGCTCTGAGGAATAAAAGTTGCACTCCAGGAGCACAGGTCTGATGGAGGCTGGCACAGCACTCACAGACAAAGTCTTCAGTACACAGTGCCTGTGAGCATCAGCATATGCTGCCCACCGGTTTGGGCACACATGCTGCTCCTGAACCTGAGCCTTGCAAATGGCAGCTGTGTGCTTCAGGTGTTGCTCAGACTGTTCTCCCTGTCCTCGCAGAGTCTGTCTGAACCCAGGCAAAACTCTTGATGCTGCTGCCCCAAATGCCTCAGTGGCCCTTCTATTAATAACCTGCTATTTGTACAGTAACCTAGCACCTCTTTCTCCTGTCTGGTGGTCTAACCATGCAGTAATAATTTCCACATAATTTGGAAATTAGGGAAACAGACTTGGAAAAGGAGCAAGTTGATTAATAAATAAATCAATATTCAAAATAAAAACAGATTTTTTTTTATACATTATCAACTTTGCTGTGATACTTAAGGTTAATATCTGCACATGCAACTAGAGTAGAAATCTGAGCTTTCAGCAGTCATTAGCAGTTTTAAACTAAGTAGCAGGAAGAAAAATCTGTTTCATTCTTTCCTTTTACATGATGCCTGGACTGTCAAATCAGCTTTCAGATGCTGTAAAAGTTGGTAAGGTTTGCAAATCTTTCACTTAATTGTAATAGGTAGCAAAAACATGATTAGCCAAAAAGCAGTTTTGGCTAAAGATTCCAAATTTCAATATTCAATTGTAAGATTTCTGAACAATAGTGGTGTTAGAAATCTTTAAATCCTTGAATGGAATGCAAAAGTTCATCTTGGTTTTTATTCCACAGCATGGCACAATCAGCTGCATCTTCACCATATGTGGCAGGACAGACTTGTCTGCTCTGAAATAAATTGTTAAAGATTATCCTTCCTCTCCGTAAGTCTTTGGTATTATTAGTATTAAGGTAGATAGTAGGAAAAGATAAATCTGCTATGCTGGATCCTGATCTCTTTTTGTCTTAGCTGCGGGCATACAGAAAGGCTTGTTCCTATTCTCTTTGCAACATCTTTTAGGTATTTGAAGAGCTTTTCCAGACTATGTAGCTTTTAGATTAAAGACTGAATCCAACAGCTTTAATTTCTACATGAAATCCACTATTTCTAAGTAATTTCTTTATATCGTACTTTTTTGTTTCTGTTAATTTTGAGGAACTTGTTTTTTCTCTGTATATTGTTCCTTTCAGTCCTGGTGATATTGCAGGCTATAATGATATTAACCTAGTACTTGGATTTCCTTTTGCTAGTATCTGGCCTTGATTGCTATAATATTCTCTAGCATTGTCTTCATGAGCAATTAGAAAATTTCTGTTCCAGCATTAGAGCCCATGCTAAATTAAGGAGGTAAAAGAATCAACCAGCCCCTGCTAGGTATGTGTGCCTGATGTTATCCTTCTCTACTGACAAAGCAGGCACTGGGAGTGTACAAAAATGAGACTGTCTGTATCCTAATGATGTGGACCAGCCAGCAAATGCATCCTGGCAAGAGGAGACAAGGGCTGCTGTGATCTTGGGTGATGAGCTGTATCCTTGTTACTTGGGATATTTATGCCAGCAATAAGCATTTTGACAGTACTTTGTAGGCACTGATGTCAGTTAAAAGTGAGGAGGTAAAATGCACCACCCCATCTTGTGCTAGGAAACACATAATAAGCTTTTTTTCCTACCTTTTTACTATGGAAAAGAAAAGGAATCAATTATCAGTCAAAGCTGACAAGCTGTGAAATGCATCTCACCTGTCCTGCCATGCAGTGGTGAAAACGGGATGGTAGCTAGTGTAACATCCATGCAAGCATTTTCCATATGTCTCAAAAGCTCTGCGTGTAGGGACAGGTAGTATCCTCAACCAATCTAGCCAGAACTACTTCTAGAGTACCTGAAATGTGTGTTTCATTCAAGACCCTGTTTAAAGTTCCTGTAGGCATGTACTGAGCATGAAGAGTCCTTTAGCTGTCACAGGTGCCAGGAGCCAGCTCAATTGCAGAAGGCTAGACCTGAGAGATGTTGCTAAGA